TCGCTCTCCATATTTAAAAGGGCACCAACCAAAAACTACTGCGTAGAATTAATTGGAATTTTTCACACACAAGCCTTGCTATATGAGCTCTCAAAGCATATAAAAATTATACGGCTTAAATGTGAAGTTGGGTGCAAAAGAATACAATTAAATCTTCTGTAGGGAAAAAGCGAAATGACTTTCCGAACAACCCTATAACACTGAAAGCAGAATGCTCAATAAAAATGTCTGGAATACAACCTTTGTTTTCCCTATTTTGCCTAGTTCAAAAGATGTTTTCATCCATCAATAATTTAAATTGAATTAAAATGAGTCCCAATGAAAGAATTTGAAAGCTAGTAACATATTTTTCACATTTGATTCCTAACAGTATATCTATAGGCTTTAGTAGTTCGATTTTATTTGTTTCAGAAAACGCAACTAGACAATGTCTCTGGAACGGGACATGGTCCAAAACAGATTATTCATCTTGTACAGAAATCGCCGAAAGTCCCACCCTTCACCATGGAGTTATAACCACAACAACAATTTATTATGTCGGTTACTCCCTCAGCTTGGTAGCATTATCTATTGCTATCGGGATATTTTTATGTTTCAAGTAAGTCGAGACATAAGGAATGTCTAACTATTTATAAATTAACCGAAGTACCTAAATGTGTCTAATAAAAAAATTTACATTTACAAGAAAAAATAGAATAAAATTAATTATTACTTGTCGTTATCCTTTTAATTTTCAGGGACCTCCGTTGTTTAAGAAACACAATACATACGAACCTGATGGTTGCTTACATTCTTATGTATTTTATGTGGATTTTGACCCTAATATTGGAGGTAATCATCAATAATTCATAATTCGTCAGTGAGTTCCGAATTTTCAAACTTAATACTTTTGTTTCAGTTGTCCTTCGATTCCTTCGAAACGAACATGGTTTCGTGTATATTCCTGGTGATCCTTTTACATTATTTTCACGTTACAACATTTTTCTGGATGTTCGTCGAAGGTAAGAAAACAAGGACAAATTTAGTGTTAACTAGCACGATACTTTTTTTTTATTTATTTATCCATTTAACTACCTAAAATATATCTTATTTTGTTGTTGTTTTTTTATTCTTTTCAATTTTAATCGTTCTCGAAACCAAATTTAATTTAATTTAATTAAAAGCCCTTTATTTCGTTTCAGGGCTATATTTATATATACTCGTAGTAGAGACACTCACGCGGGAAAATTTCAAATTAAGAATCTACGTCTGCATCGGATGGGGTAAGTTTACATCATTCTCTCTTTATTAGAAAACGAGGCGAAGCAAACATTTTTGTTCCGAATTCTTAGACGAAACCGAAGGAAAAAACAATGTCTACGTAAATCATCAAGGGCAACAACATTTTCAGATCTTAAAATAAAAGAAATTAAAAAAAGAGAGGCACGCACAATCCAGACCGTTAAACTCTCTGCATAATTAAAAAATAAAACAAAAAAACAACAAAGTCACGCCTACCTTGTGTCTTCGTTTAATTACGAAAGACAAAATTACGACATCGAATTTTTTTATCGTATAATCCTTACGTATAAAAAATGATTCCTTGAATTAATTAGCATCTGAGAAATTTTCTAATGAGCAAAAGATGAACTAATTAGATACTAATTGTATCGGAAGGTTTAAAAGGCATGGAAGGACCAAGAATTTTTTAAGCCTTTTAAATACTGCTATCTAAGGTATTTCGTATACTTCAGCAACCCCTGATTGTACATAAAAGCGATGAAAAATTATTTTCCTCGAAATTTCCTAAATTATTTAGGTACCTCAAATAAAAGGAAAAACGGAAATAGTCGTAATCTACTCTAATTAATTTTCTAAAAACCATAACAATTGAATCGGTCAGGACTATGAAGAGCTTGCGCGCTTTTTTACAATTATCCTGAAAAAAAATTTAATCAAAAACACGACTTAACCTTACCATTATATTTGATATTTCCTAAATTCATTAAAATAATACTAGATTTATTTAATTTGTAAAAAGATACTTTCTATCATTTGTAGATAGGTTTAAATGAGTAAATTATATTGAGTAAATATTATCCTAGCTAATACTTTAATTCAACACTCAATATTTGTCCATAATNTCCAAGTTAATAAAATTAATTTGTACTATATGTTCGTACGAAGAGCTTTGAAATGTAACCATAATCTTCTTTCTAATCCCCTAGTAAACTTTTATACATACAACTTGAGGTTCTATAATAAATCAATTTCTGCAGAAAATCTTCCTTGCATGAATCCCCTGCAATTTCAAGTGGGATGCAAGTTTTAATATCGTTCTTTGTTTGCATACATACGATCGACCGACATATTATTATTAAGCTCGCTGAACCACAACGTTCCTTTAATGATTTGATGTAAACATTGGGCTGTACATAAACATGTAAACGCAAAAGACAAAGGGTAATATTTTGCCAAGGAGAAGAACGAGCTTTATCTCCACGTCAGAGGAGAATTACCTTTTGGTGGATGCGGTCAAACCAGTGGCGCGGCATCAAGTTAGGTTCTCATCACAATGCTTTCATTATTATTTTAGTATCTACATGTACCTACAATTTTTTAATAGCCTAATGACATTAACTTTAAGTTGAAAATACAGAATTTGTGATACGTACTTTAAAGGTTATTTTGAGTTGAAAGAGATGCTAAAGCCTCTTATCTGTTAGGCATAACTGATTCAAATTAAATTTCTGCTAAAAATAAAGGCTTGTAATTATAATAATGCATAAAAAGGTAATGTTTGTCGTTAAATCCTCAGAAATGCATGCTCTTCTACAGCAACAACAATCTGAATTATAATAATCTCGTTTTTATTCCCATTACGTGATACTTAAAGTTGGCGCCACTGCTTCGAAGAAGAAACGAGATAAACAAAGTTGATATTTGGTATGCTAATGTGTTACAATTACAATTTTATCAGACACTGCTTGGAAAAGAGAATGGCATCCAAGTGGGTTGTCGTCATGATAAGGGCTGAAATGTGGCGGTAAGTTTACTCCACCCTTGGAATACTTGAATTATCAAGTAGGAAACAATCCAACCCTAGTAAAACACGAGACAACAACCCTAGCTACTAATAACGCTTTATAATACCAATTATTATTAAAGATACATCGCAACATTAAAAACACTCCTTACCTTTAAGATAATTTCACTATTCAATAAGCTGAATCTGTTATTTTATTTTCTTTTATTAAGGCCTAAAGGTATTTTAAAATCGAGGACGCATTTTTAATTTAAACATTTTGGAAGGAGTGTTTTTTCTCAAGTAACTTTTGATAAATAGATCTGCTCGAGGCAATATGTATTAGTAAACTCTTTGTTTGTTTTTCTCAAAAGCTATTTGAATGTTCTCATATTCTATCGAAAAGACGTTGTTTTTATGCTCTAAACGCCCTTTAAAAAACAGCAGCGATATTTTCTACAAGTGCTGTCTAAGTTTAACAACTGACGGCCGTCTTCGGCTCGTAGGACCATACTATTAACCGTCCCGAAAACGTCCACGAGTCATTTACTAAAGGTACTTTTTATAGGGGCCTTAGGGATTTTATATTTACACTACGACTTGTAGTAGACAAAGGATCGATTTGGTATCAATATAATTAGTAAAAGACAGTCCAGAATTTCGGTCTGTCTAAGCAAAACGAAAGGGGCGTCTCGGCTGCCTTGGAATTTATTCTCGAAGGAAAAACTACTAGTCCTAAGACAACACTAGAAGCATGTTTGCTTGCTTTTGTTTAGCAATGTGTGTATATGTGAATTGGTACGCAAACATCCAGATAAAAGCGATAAAAGACTGTGGCCTGAGCTATTTTAAGGTTAAAGTTACTTTTCGACGAGCAAATAACACGAAATTTATTGCTTGCTTGCAAATAGGTTTACGTTTTAATGATATAGTGACGGTTGTGTTGTACACTTTTATCTATCTTTTCTTATTCATAAAGTTTTGTTGGTTTACAAAAAAAAATTGAAAGACAATGCAACTTGTCTGAGACATAAACAGTTCATTCCTAACGAGTTTTTATCTTTAAATATACAGAGAAGCCGTAGTGAATAAAATTAAGCATTCAAAGCAGAATTACGGCAATGTACCCAGCGAATGTGGGAATTTTTAAACAGAATTAATTTTGAAAAGAATAATTAAAGACATTAAGAACTCCTGTGAATAACTCTCAACGGTGTCGTTACCGTCTTAAACTTTTATCTTATTTCTAAAGTTGAATTACAACTTTTATTGTACAATTTCACAAAATCTCCTTCGTCCTCAATTGTCGAAAATAACACACCGGTTATTAAAGTAGCAAATTATTATCGAACTACATCTATTGTTTTAAAAGCAGCCTGTTTCTGGTAATTTCTGCTGCAACAGCATTTGTGTTTTGTACGTATTTTCAAGAGCTACGCGCGCAAAATATTTTTTTTTACTTCTTCAAATACATCGAAATAAAAAAACGCAATTTATTACACACCGTCTAAAGTTTTATTGTCGGAATAGAATGATTATTGGTTTTTTATGTGGTTTAGACCACTTCAATTTTACTCTTATTGCAAACATAAAATTACCACGAGACATTGGGTCACTAAATCGTAACTTCATCCATTATGTCTACAACATCATACCGTCAATTTTGGTTTCGTTTTTTCGAGAGTTAAAAATTCTAAACGGCTTAATTCGTTCAGACCAATATCTGCTAGGTGCTTAGACGGCTTATGTCCTTTATGTCGTGTGAAATAAAAGCAGGGAACGTTGGAGTATTAACACAATGGATAGGGAAACTCATTTTGAGAGGGTTGTTTAGCCGGCCACCGTGTTATTCTGTTTTACCCAAACGTTATTTCCATTTATTATAATACATAAAAGAATGAGACCATGTGTCTTGAATTTTAATGGGAAAAGTATGAAAATAATCATCCCAGTTGGACTGGGCAACTTTAGACATGCAAATCGACGTTGAAATAAAGCCCATCTCGTATATTCCGGCATACAAATCGCTTTCGTTAGTTACATAAAACAAATCGCCCGAGAAAAAAATAATAAAAAGCTCGTTCAACTTATGTACAAAGGATAAATATTTGTTACCGGCGTGTTAATAGTGTTTATACAGGGTGCCCCGAGAAATGGTGTCAACATTAGGATACTTATACTAGTTCTCGTGACATTTTCAATTATATAAGAAAATTTATTTATTTTAAACATTCTAAGAAGTTTTCACAAGCATCAGCCTAAAATTAATTTCGCAAATCAAAGTAAGAAACTACAAAAAAACTGAATATTTTTACTAAACTTTGTCGCAATTTCCATTTTAAAAAACTTAATTAATTTACATATCAGTAGAGGTCTCCGAAACCTATTATCTAAGAAGTCTATAAACCCTTCATGTTGTTTCAATATCTATTTTTCTTGCAACTTTGTATCCAAAGATTTCATTTAATTTTTCTTCACCGAAGTGAAACAATAAAGTAGAGCTATTAAACTTTTTTCTATGCCGCAAATCCAATTAGAAATAAGGAACAATAAAATATCTTGGCCGTTACTGACAGCTTATAATGAAAATTTTGCCGAATTCACAAAATTCCTTCTTTAGAAGACGAAAGCAAAATTGAAATCGGGAAAACATTTTTTCCAATTAATTTCTACCCTTGTTACTATAATGGATTTTTATTTCCCTACCTATTTAGGAAGATACATCTGAAATTTTAATACAGATAAGAAATTTGCACTTGTCAATTAAGCCGACACAATAATCGAATTAGTCCGAAATAAAAAAGAACATTGTTTTTAAAATAACACGTAGTTCAGTCAGTCAAAGTTTGACAAGTGACATTCGCCTTCGGCTTGAAGGACCATGCTATCAACCGTCCTAAAAACAAATATCCATACCATTTATCGGACGTAGAAGTTTCGAAATAAAATTGAAAGTACAAATAAAAAGCTGAACACATCTATGCTACGAGCGTTAATTCTAACAAAATTAGTAGTTCCCACACGACAAGGGTAAAAATAATCGAGCTCTAACAATAAATGTCTGGTTTACCGTATTTTTAATTAAAAAGTTGAATTATCTTTTACACTTTTTACAGCAGGGTATTCTTCTGATCTTTTTTGTCACGTACTATGACAGGCCATTGAATATAATAAATAGTCCCATAGGTCAAAGTGAGCTTAACGAATTCAGCTGTTAAACGAAAGAATAATCAATCTTCCATCACTTAACTGTTAGGTTTCGTGGCGCAAATGAAAGAAAAAAGAAGAGATCAAATAGTCTTTTGTCGCGTTCAATAAAAGTTGAAGAACGCCCTGTGTTACCGGCCGGGATAGTCGTAAAGAACCCTTCCATTAGTAGTGGACTTTCTTTCAACAATCAACTTTTCACAAGATCTTCGATAGAAAAAAAAGAGACTTCTCCTTACTATCAGCCTTTTATACGAAAAAACACTTTCGGAGATTTTTTGCTCTTCCTTTTGTCGTCTTAAAAACAGGCACATTTTTATGAGAATTTCGGGGAGTTCGACAACTTAGAATTACGGTTTAATAAACAGGCCAAATACAGAAGAAGAGGAGAGAATTAATAAACAACCGTGCCTTTTAAATGGTTTTGAGTTAATAAAATGAAACTACGGGTGAAACAGAGCCAGTTGCAATTTAATTTTCAATCGATGCCTCTGCACCGGCATAGAACAAAGGTTCTATTTTGTCTGGAAATTGTACGATGCATATCAATTGCGCAAATAAAAAGAAATATAGGGTTGTTCGGAAAGTCATTTCGTTTTTTTTTTGTGGAAATGAAAGACAGTTTTCGTATAATAAACAAATACTTTATTAAATTATATATTGACCGTTCTGGTCCAACACCTTTTGCCATCTTTCTGGTAGTAGCATAATTCCACGCTCATAAAATTTTGGAGTGACCGGAACAAATAATAATCCGATGGTGCCAGGTCTGGAGAATATGGTGGGTGTAGCATTGTATCCCATTCAAGCTGTAAAAGCTTTTGGCGAGTGACCAAACTTGTGTGAGGTCTCGCGTTGTCTTGGTGAAACACTACACCTTTCCTGTTGATTAGTTCTGACCTTTTCTGTTGAAGTGCATCATTCAGTTTGTCCAGCTGATGACAGTAGACTTCCGAATTAATCGTTGTGTTATCCGGTAAAAGCTCAAAAAAAACGATTCCTTTAAAATCCCACCAAACAGACAGCATCACCTTTTTTTGGTGAATATCGGCTTTGGAAATGGTTTGAGCCGGTTCATCTTTTTTGCTCCATGACCTCTTGCGTTTGACGTTGTTGTATACAACCCATTTTTCGTCCCCAGTGATGATGCGCTTCAAAAACGGATCATTTTCGTGACGTTTGAGAAGCGAATCGCAGACGTCAATGCGGCGACACAGATTTCTCTCTGTGAGAACATGGGGAACCCATACATCGAGCTTCGAGGATAATCCCAGGCCTTTCAAGTGGTCATAAACTGTTGAATTTGATAAATTTAACCTCAATCCGATCTCACGTGTTGTTATTCGCCGGTTCACATCAACTAATGCCTTTATCGCGTCTTTATCAGCTTCAACCGGCCTTCCCGAACGTGGTGCATCTTCGACATCAAAATTGCCGGATCGAAATTTAGCGAACCAGTTCTGGCACTGGCGTACTGTCAACACACCTTCTCCATACACATCAGTCAATTTCTTTCTGGCTTGAACAGCATTTTTACCCTTTCTGTAGTAAAACAGTAAGATATGTCGAAAATGCTGCTTATCGCTCTCCATATTTAAAAGGGCACCAACCAAAAACTACTGCGTAGAATTAATTGGAATTTTTCACACACAAGCCTTGCTATATGAGCTCTCAAAGCATATAAAAATTATACGGCTTAAATGTGAAGTTGGGTGCAAAAGAATACAATTAAATCTTCTGTAGGGAAAAAGCGAAATGACTTTCCGAACAACCCTATAACACTGAAAGCAGAATGCTCAATAAAAATGTCTGGAATACAACCTTTGTTTTCCCTATTTTGCCTAGTTCAAAAGATGTTTTCATCCATCAATAATTTAAATTGAATTAAAATGAGTCCCAATGAAAGAATTTGAAAGCTAGTAACATATTTTTCACATTTGATTCCTAACAGTATATCTATAGGCTTTAGTAGTTCGATTTTATTTGTTTCAGAAAACGCAACTAGACAATGTCTCTGGAACGGGACATGGTCCAAAACAGATTATTCATCTTGTACAGAAATCGCCGAAAGTCCCACCCTTCACCATGGAGTTATAACCACAACAACAATTTATTATGTCGGTTACTCCCTCAGCTTGGTAGCATTATCTATTGCTATCGGGATATTTTTATGTTTCAAGTAAGTCGAGACATAAGGAATGTCTAACTATTTATAAATTAACCGAAGTACCTAAATGTGTCTAATAAAAAAATTTACATTTACAAGAAAAAATAGAATAAAATTAATTATTACTTGTCGTTATCCTTTTAATTTTCAGGGACCTCCGTTGTTTAAGAAACACAATACATACGAACCTGATGGTTGCTTACATTCTTATGTATTTTATGTGGATTTTGACCCTAATATTGGAGGTAATCATCAATAATTCATAATTCGTCAGTGAGTTCCGAATTTTCAAACTTAATACTTTTGTTTCAGTTGTCCTTCGATTCCTTCGAAACGAACATGGTTTCGTGTATATTCCTGGTGATCCTTTTACATTATTTTCACGTTACAACATTTTTCTGGATGTTCGTCGAAGGTAAGAAAACAAGGACAAATTTAGTGTTAACTAGCACGATACTTTTTTTTTATTTATTTATCCATTTAACTACCTAAAATATATCTTATTTTGTTGTTGTTTTTTTATTCTTTTCAATTTTAATCGTTCTCGAAACCAAATTTAATTTAATTTAATTAAAAGCCCTTTATTTCGTTTCAGGGCTATATTTATATATACTCGTAGTAGAGACACTCACGCGGGAAAATTTCAAATTAAGAATCTACGTCTGCATCGGATGGGGTAAGTTTACATCATTCTCTCTTTATTAGAAAACGAGGCGAAGCAAACATTTTTGTTCCGAATTCTTAGACGAAACCGAAGGAAAAAACAATGTCTACGTAAATCATCAAGGGCAACAACATTTTCAGATCTTAAAATAAAAGAAATTAAAAAAAGAGAGGCACGCACAATCCAGACCGTTAAACTCTCTGCATAATTAAAAAATAAAACAAAAAAACAACAAAGTCACGCCTACCTTGTGTCTTCGTTTAATTACGAAAGACAAAATTACGACATCGAATTTTTTTATCGTATAATCCTTACGTATAAAAAATGATTCCTTGAATTAATTAGCATCTGAGAAATTTTCTAATGAGCAAAAGATGAACTAATTAGATACTAATTGTATCGGAAGGTTTAAAAGGCATGGAAGGACCAAGAATTTTTTAAGCCTTTTAAATACTGCTATCTAAGGTATTTCGTATACTTCAGCAACCCCTGATTGTACATAAAAGCGATGAAAAATTATTTTCCTCGAAATTTCCTAAATTATTTAGGTACCTCAAATAAAAGGAAAAACGGAAATAGTCGTAATCTACTCTAATTAATTTTCTAAAAACCATAACAATTGAATCGGTCAGGACTATGAAGAGCTTGCGCGCTTTTTTACAATTATCCTGAAAAAAAATTTAATCAAAAACACGACTTAACCTTACCATTATATTTGATATTTCCTAAATTCATTAAAATAATACTAGATTTATTTAATTTGTAAAAAGATACTTTCTATCATTTGTAGATAGGTTTAAATGAGTAAATTATATTGAGTAAATATTATCCTAGCTAATACTTTAATTCAACACTCAATATTTGTCCATAATTGGAATCCAACATTCAACAGCTTTTAATAAAAGATCAAACATATTACGCAGTTGTAAAACATTCGTGCTTTATGAATGTAAATTTATTCATCCAGCAAAAAGTATAAACCTAATTCTCCTGATAAATAACTACTTATTGGGTAGTTTATTAGCGGTGTGAATTTTGTGGTAAGGAGCTTTGTAAATGTGATAATATCCTGTTGCTCTCGATAAAGGTATAATCACACCAAACTACCTAACTATAGAATAGAAATATAATTCTATTTTAACCCTGTTAAACAATGTTCCACAAACCACCCGCCAACAGCACTGTAAATAATATATGTACGTATAATGTTAGTGGTATCATTACAAATAAAGAAAATACCCTAAAAATAGGACCAGGGATGATAACATCAATGATAGCAAGTGGCAAGCAGTAAATCGATTTGCTTATAAACTTTAGGTAGTTAAAAATTAATTCGTGGATTTTCAAAAGCTTCGACTAATAGATGCAGTGGATCAAGTTGGTTCATTTAAATATATAGGTACCTATGTATTTCTTTTGATTTCAGGAATTCCATTAATTTTTGTGATAATCTGGGCCATTGCTAAAAGTTTCATAGAAATGGATACTTCGCACTCCGTAAGTGTTAATTATTTTATTTACTATAAGTCTTGCAAACAAAGCGATCGAAAATGCTTGTAGTCCTTAAACTCATATTAAGGATAACCTACGTCCTGACAATTACCGGTCCTACCAAATCTGGTATTATCAAAACGTCAAATACATTTTCCTTTACGAGATCGATTGTTTTTCACAATTTTATTATTACATTTCCCCTAAATTGCTTATTATTTACATTTAAAACAAAAAACTGATTAAATACGATATAAAACTGTTTTCTTTCTTTTGTTCGTTTAATAATAATACGAATTTCACCCTTTAAAAACAATTCTAATCAAAGGTACCTACTACTCGCCATCATTGTTGCGAATAATATAGCATTTTTTTTTTTTTAATGAAAAACAGGCATCCATCATCGTTAAATTGTTACCTTCCTTCGTATTAACAAAGTTTTTACATTCATAAAAACAATTAAAATCAAGTAAAATGTAATTACAGTTTCCTTAACGAAACTTACCGAGTACCAACTCGAACGTCCGCCACGACCTTGAAGCTTTCGGAAACTCTTGAATCATATTCATAATTCCTGCTACGGCACTAATGTCATTTGAACAACGTTTACGTAAAGTATATTCGTTAAAAATTAATTACCACCCCGTGAATTTACACTAATTAAAACATCTAACAGTAATAATTATATAAATCAGAACAAACGTGACCGAACCCGTCAAATATGTCTACTTTATAACAAGCACAATGCGAAACATCGCAGTAATACCACCATACGCATGCGTCATACAAAGCTGCCTTTGCTTTTGCAGGATTGTACATCCAAATTACTGAGTAACACCAAATAAATTAAACTTAATTCAAATACGTACTGGTTTTATATTTAAAAATATATCCTAAAGCTACTAAATAACTAAATATTAGAAATATTACCAAATTCTGCCCCATGCTTTGCATAATCTAATACTGAATTGTACAATAACCAATAAATTATACGTAGCAAATACATTCGAAAAAATATATTATTTTATTTTATTATTTTATATTGTCGGATTAACCACCATATACATATTACATATAGAGTATACTTAAAAACACATTATCTTATCAATAAAAAAATGAAGTAATTGGAGAGTTTACACATTAGTTTTCACTCTAAATTTCGAGACAAACTTACGGACCCAAATTTATTGCGTTACGTTATCGGACATCTAACTTAATCTGTAAATCTTCATATTGAGTAGCTAGCAGTTTGCTAATTGATGGATTAAATAACAAGCGCAACGAGCTCAATCATCCCGAATAAACGCGATTGTAATATAGGGTAATTTTATTTGATAGCCGATAGGTAACATAAATCTATATAGACCGAGCGATAACGACATAAGTTGAAACATGGGTTTGCAAAATCTGCCCTTTCGGTAGCTTACAATATCTTTCTATTGTTATGAAGTCCGAGTAAGTGAGGGTTTTAGGCGAGACGTAGTACGCCTTATCGCCTAATAATGTGTGATATATTTTATAGAAAAGATAATAAATCCTGTGCTAAATCACCAGTAGATGGATTTTTGTGATACTAAAATTCTGTTATAACTTTTATTGAAACAAACTTATATTGCTACACTCTTACACTTATTAATCATCATCACAAAGTCCTCAGTCTTAAGGCTGGTCTTGGTTAGACACGTACCTCCACTCTTTTCTATCCTAAGCTAATCTTCGCATTTCCCTAAACCTGGAACATCCCACATCCGCCTAGGACTACCTCTATTATTTTTAACTCCCGTTTCTGCTTCTAATATGTCTCTAACATGTCTTCATGCCTGAGTATATGTCCTACCAACTTATCTCTCCTATTTCTAAATACCTTGGTATCCAATACCCTTGCCAGTTTCTCCACAAATCTCCTTTAATCCTACCACATAACTTGATTCCTTTATTTTCATAAATTCTTTCCCCATATCATTTCCCTGCATCAGTTTCTCATCAATTTCCCTATATTTATTCATTCTGTGAGCTAACTCATCGTTCCTAATTTCTGATACTTTCTTCCACCATATTTGTTTCCTGGCATCCCCTACTTCGAGCCTCCCTAACCTCTCCTCTTATTTAACTATACCTTTTAATTGCTTTAGTAGCTGATGAGAATAAACCACCTAAAGTTTCTTGTTTTTACATAAACCTCATACTTATTCGGGATTCATAACAAAAGTTCTATCATCAGTAGTACCTAATACTCTCTAAAATTAACTTTGGCAAAGTAAAATTAGTTACAAACCTAATTCCTAAAAGGAACATGTCCTGTACGTATGCATGTTTAACTTGAAACAACAAATTCTATTTATATACAACGGTGCATCAGGACACTCGTTGTCGTTTTAATTGAATTGAATTCTTTGCAATTTTTTTGCCACATTACATTGTCTGACTTGTCGTAAATTCATCCCATTCAATATTAATCCATTTTTAATGGATTTGCGTGTCAATTATAATGAGGTAATAATCGATTTATGTCGGGTAGGTGATCAAGTCGAATTAATAATTAGAATGACACTAATACGCGGAATTTCATCCTTCCTAATTAACTTCGCCAATTTAAAACGAAATGCAAATTTTTGACGGCTGTTTCACGTTAAAAATCAAGCGCGTCATTCAAAATTATTAAAATTGAATTTTACTTGTTTATTTCAAATACTTCATGGCTTCCAATGATAGTATTAGTTATAATTTATCAAACGGAAAACTGTTTAATCAGTTAAAAATAGTGCCAATATGTATCGATTTTCTTTTTCAGGATCCAGTATGGCATTACTGCCCGTGGATGAAGCCTCATTCAATAGACTGGATATACCAAGCGCCCATAGCTATCGTGTTATTAGCAAATTTAGTATTTTTAGTAGCTATAATGTGGGTACTGATAACGAAATTACGTTCGGCGAACACGTTAGAAACCCAACAGTATCGCAAAGCAACTAAGGCGCTTCTAGTCCTTAAACCCTTATTAGGGATAACCTACGTCCTGACAATTACCGGCCCTACAAAAGTTGGCATTGTCAAATACATTTTTGATTACGCAAGATCGGTTTTTCTATCCACGCAGGTAAAATAATTTCTCATTATTACCTATACGCTAGTTTACCATTTTCACCCTATTAAAAAATAAAACAAAAGAACCAAATGCATAATAGAAAACAAAAACTGTTTGCTTTCTTTTGTTCGAGATTAATCCTTCTTGCAAGGACCATTTTGATCGAAGATACCTCTGAACACCTTTATTACGAACAATGTACAATTTTTTATATGAATGAAAACCATTAAATTTATAAATTCTTCCTTTGTTTTAACAAATTTCTACATTTTCATTCATAAAAACAATTAAATTCAAGTAAAAATGTAATTACAGATTCCTTAACGAAACTTACCGAGTACCAACTCGAACGTCCGCCACGACCTTGGAAAGTCTTAAATCATTTTCCTAATTACTGCTGCGGCACTAAAGTCATTTGAACAACGTTTACGTAAAGTAAATTCGTTAAACATGAATTACCACACCGTGAATTTACACTAATTACTTACTAATTCTAATAGAATACAACTTACATTAATAAGCGTCACCGAACCCGACAAATATGCGAAACATAATGTAATGGCATCGCGCATATACCATTATGCGCATGCTTCAACCAAAGCTGCCTTTGTTTGCTTTTAAAGATAAAACTAAAGAAATTAAATTAAATATAATTCAGATCCTGATTTTACACTTACAAATTATTCGAAACAGTGTTTCTTCCTGAAAATTATAAATATTACCAAATCCTATTCTATATTCTTCATTTAAGTTAACCTATTTGTGAGATTAGAAATTAAGTTTCAATGAAACAAATAAAGGAACTTAAACTGAGGCATGTAATTGACTTTAAAAAGTAAAATAAATAAAAATCTATGTCGTAAATTAAACAAATACACGCTAAAAAGTACAAAACAATTTTCCAGTAGGTGCATATCAAAGAAAGAAGCGATTCTATAAAAAGATATTAATTTAATTTAAACAAAAAGTTAATCGTTGCTGAGGTTGATTAACAAGTAGATTTATAACTTTTCGGGTGTCTTTGTACAAAAGATGACCCAAAATTTTCTCTTTAGGGTTTTATGGTAGCCCTATTTTACTGCTTTTTGAACACAGAAGTTCAGAACACATTGCGACACCATTTCGACAATTGGAGAGAATCAAAGACGATAGGGGGTGCGAATCGTCTCAGATCTGGTAGTAGAAATAAAGACTGGTCTCCCAGGTCAAGAACTGAAAGCATCAGGTAATTATTTAATCTCATTTTTATCACCCAGCGATATACAAAATCCTATACAACACACGAAACAGAGAAACATAATAAAAAATAATAAATATTTCGCTAATGGTATGTCCTTGGATATCCCTAAAGTATTCCCTCTTTTCGAGTCAATACTTCATTCCTATTAAGAACTACATTACACTACTAATTTAAGCTCAGAATTTTGCTTAAATTTTGGCCTAGCAATTTTTATCAACCCCTTCAACCCCCGTTCGTGAACGATAAGTAAGTAGAGAACGCTTTGGTATTTTTTTGAATTAAATTTTTTAATTGATTCGCATATCGTTGACATTGCATGAATTGCATGTTTTGTTATCAGATTCACGGAATGGACCATGGTGACCACTGACGAAGCCACCGGGCACCTGCTTACGACACCCGACGGAGCTGCTTACAACGGCAAAGCTGTGGTAGTTTAATAACGAAAGCATGAGAGTGTTGTGTAGCTTTTGAGCTTTTTTCGAATTTCATTTTTCATTTTTTTTTTCTTTTGTACGTTCTATTCGATATAATAATAAACGTATGTCATTAAAAACATTCTACTTTTGCATGTTAATAAAACACTAAAATAATAACAAAAACTAATCGCTACATATAAATCTGTCAGCTGTTATTAGTGCAATATTTCGACAGTGTCATGTAGAAGCAGAAAAGTAGAAGATTTCAAAGAGTTTTTCTCATTTTTTCTTTTACTGATTTTTCAATTTGGTGAGACTTCTTACAGAGACGTGTGAAAAATCTCCATAAAAGAAAGCAATTGATAAATAGTTCCATCAACACAAAAAAATCTCATTAGGCGTCATCATCATAAGGTCGTCAGTCCTAAGACTGGTTCGATACGCATCTCCACTCTTTCCTATCCTGGGCTATTGTTCGCATTTCCCTAAAACTAGAACAACTCATATCCTTAACTATTTGCGAACAGTAATTTAATCTAGAACTACCTCTACCCCTCCTAACTTCCGTTTCTGCCTCTAATATGTCTCTAACTAGATCTAGGTGTCCTGCCAACCTATCTCGCCTATTTCTTATTGACTTCCATAGTCCTCTGTTCTCCTATTCTTTCTAATACCTCTTCATTTCTAACCTTCTCTATCCACGGTATCCTCATCATTCGCCTGTAACACCACATATCGAACGCTTCTAACCTATTCTTTTCCGCCGCGCCCACTGTCCATGTTTTGCACCCGTACAGCGTCGTGCTCCAAACATACACCTGTAACAACCTTTTTCAAATTTGTAAATTAACCGTTCGCGACCATAGAAGTGACTTCTTTTTATTAAAGGCGACACGACCCTGCGCTATCTTCTGCTTTATATCCCTGCTAATCCTTCCGTCCTGACTTAACTAACTTCCTAGATACCTAAAATCAGCCACTTCTTCTGATTTTTCATCTCCTATCTTTATATTCGCTCTTTCCCTATTTTTTCTTCCCTTGCGTACCAGTATTTTTGTTTTACTTTTATTTATTTTCATAGAAAATTTTTTTGTCAATGCCGCTTCCATAACGTCACGTCTTGTCTGATGATGCAAAATGGATACAAAGTAATAAAAACACAGAAGGATCATCTTCAAAGTCCAAAACTTTTGACCCAAGCCTGAAAGGTTTCAGTCATCCCACTGAGTCCTTAAATCCAATTTATATCAACATTTCGTTTCGAAATTTAACACACTATATAGATCTGATGGCAACACTTATTTACGCGTAATACATGTTTAATTCTTTTCTATTATTCGATACAATCCAAAATTGTTTCATTTTTGTTTGTTTTTTTACTTTTATGCATTTCACTAATGAAATAATTCATCACACGAATCATTTTTGTTATAGAAAAACGTTAACAGCAATCCTAGTAAAAAAAAGCGAAAATCCATAAGAAAAGTTTCTTAATTAAGTGCCTCCGTTATCCTTCCCTCCTAGGACAACAAAGAAATGGTATCATTATCTTCGTATTCACACCAAAAAAAGGAAAAAGAAATTGTCCTTCTATTTCAAACAAAAATTTAATTAACATTTGCGCGAATAAAATAACAAACCCCATCATTTCTAATTTCAGCTTTAAATGCATATAATTTTCATTGCAAGATCTATTCTGCATGTTATCGTTAAATTTAAAGGGTTTTATTGATTTTTAATTAATTTTCTAAACAAAATTATATTGTACTGCGTATTATTTTAATTAATAAGTTTCAGGTGGTTTTATAAATGATCAGAGCCGACAAAGGAATTAAACCCCGTGGGTAGAGTAAAATGGAAAGGGTAATGGGGAGGGCCTTATATGATTAATTAAAACAAAATAATAATTGCCCATACGTGATTTCATGTAAGGGATAGTAAATACCTCCATTACGAATGTTTTCTTGTTCAAATTATTTAACATATGCCACCATGATATTCTACGTACTTTTTTGCATATTCATCACTTATTAAAGTTTAGCAAACGTCTTCCATCTCCAAATAATTTCACAAGCGCTTTTTATGTATAAATTGTTTTACAAAAATAATGCCGGAATGTGCCTATTTAACATCGCACTCGAAAACCGATGCCACCATGAGATTCTGCGTACTTTTTTACATGATTATCACTTTTTAAAGCTTAGCAAACATCTTCCATCTCCAAGTAATTTCACGAGCGCATTTTAATGTTTAAATTGTTTTATATTGTTTTACAAAAATAATGCTGGAATGTACCTACATGACATCGCACTCGAAAACCGTTGCTACCATGAGATTCCACGTACTTTTTTACATAATTATCACTTCTTAAAGTTCAGCAAACATCTTCCATCTGCAAATAATTTCACGAGCGAATTTTTATGTTTATTATATTGTTTTACAAAAATAATGCCAAAATGTACCTATTTGACATCACACAGAAGTCTTAGAAGTTGCGATAACTTTATTAATTAATATGTTTATATGTTTAAAAATACTTTAGTTTATTCAAAGAGATAATTAATAAAGAAGGTATATAGGTACAGCCCATTTTGACAGTAAAATTGAAAAAGGTAACCCAATAATAAAAAAGAGATTCTGATAGATTTATTCGTGCGGCCGTGATCAGAATGCTTTGAAATTTCAAAGCAGTTCACATGAGAACACGAAAAAATGAACATCAATTTTTTTTTTTTACTTTATTACTACTAACTGGACAGCGTGGACATTCCGAAAAAAAAAATGGATGCAGAAATTCAATTTTAGAGACAGAAACGTGATTCAATATTCCAAAAATTCTCGCTCATATGAAACCAAATTAATCGTCTAGATGACGCAATTGAAGTCGAAAACGTAAAAAGTTAAAACAATGAAATGCATCATTTTCAATTTAGATGACAAGCAACTTCATATTGTAACCGGGGGTGATGAAATGAAACTAATTGACAACAAATCATACAATTTTATTGAATATGTCTTAGTATTTCTTGGATATTCTATTAGAAAATACAACAACCATTTGTTCATATGAATGCAATTTTGAGAAGTTTTAGACACTTTTTTTTGAGTTTTCGGAAAAACAAGTGATATTTTCATCCCTAATATTCCCTAATATACATTAAAAAAGTTCATCGCTTATAACACAAAAATTTTTGATTTCAAAAGTACTGTTCGTGGTCAATTTATTTGTAACTGTTTTGTTTCAGTGTCGCAGGCATGATGTTGGTCAATCTTTCTGTCCTCCATGTCACTTCAGATAGACTTGAACTGAATAATAAAAAATAAACGAAAGGGCGCATGTTTCGGGTACCTTAAACATGCGAAAAAAGCGAGAAACAGATAATGAAAGAAGTGAAAATGCTCGGGTAAGTTCACAGTTATCCGGCTTTATGGTTTGTGATATGAGTAATATTATTATTTTGGTAATTAATTGTTGTTGCAAGAGCCTTTTTGTGCATATTCAAAATTAATGTGCAGCACTGAATTGAATTGTCCTATTTTTTAAGTACTTTTAAGTATAATGCGTGTTATTATTTACTTACGATTCCTAATTTAAAAAGAGGAAACAGTTTAATCAAGTTGAAGCTTCTGCTTTTATTTTTCTTTCTTATTTTAGTTGATCAAGAAATGCGTATTTTTAGAGCCAATTCGTCAGGGGTAAATAACGGCCTACATAAAGCTAAATTATATTTTAATTTCACTTTTCTGCTTGTATTTCAAGGTTCTATTAAAAGTTTTTCTACAACTTAATTCTAAGTTCAATCATTGCCATAAAATTTGTTGAAATTATGGAAAAACATGCAATACAAAAACTGTGATTATAAATATTTTTTTATTTACAAACTTAACATTTCTAATGCCGGATAACTCTGAACTTGCCTGGAAAGTTTATATAAATCTTGTTTGAAACTGGAACTGTTTTGTACTTAAAAAAATATTGTCAAATATATGAAGATAATCCACGAAAATAGATTACTTTGAGCCAATAATCTAACGTACTAATAGAATCTCTAACTTTTTCAAACAACAAAAATATAAGTAATAACATAGAACACATTTTTAAGAAAGTCAGTATTTACAAGCTACTTTAAAATTTTAGAAGTTTTAAAAGCAAAATCGTAAAATTTTACTAGTTAAAGTCCTTTCATACAATATGGAATACACTTTGAAATCTAAAAGTACTGCTTCTAATGTAGAATAACCTTTTTAATGTTGCTTGTGATTTAGTAGATGTACAAACTTGCTTGATTATTAACAACAACTTTATAACTGTACCTATTTTCTTGGTAATAATTTTTACATCAAAATAAAACAATATTATTACACATAATAAGTTTCTTTAATACCTCATAGTGTACTTTATGGGGATTTCTCTCCCGTTTACGGCAAATAACTCCTTAATATAATTTCCGACTTTATTTATTGGTTCGTAAAGATGAAAGTTTTATTTTTTTCTGTTTCCAAAAATAGAATTGGAAGGTACAGTACGGAATTAACTAATTCACAATGAAATTAACAAACAAATATTGCTGACTTTTAAAAATCTTAGAAAATACTACAAATGGCGTAGTAAACGCCATCTGTAGCACGATGCTACATTTTAGGATTACGTATGCTCCCAAACAAGGTCCACTTGTGTGGATATCTACTTGGTGAAAACGAATCCCGGCGTAGCCAATCTCAACGTGATAGGCACGAAACTGCCAGACGCGGATCGCGATTTCGATCTTTTTGGATCCCATCAGCTCATCGCCGGCAGCCCCGACAGAACACAGACCAACTTTTACCTGCTGATTTAACAGTGCGTTTTAGAAAATACTACAAATGGCGCAGTAAACGCCATCTGTAGAATCTCGATAGAATACAGACCACTTCGAATTATTTTATTCGATTAAGCTAACGTGCCTATCACGTTGAGGTTGGCTACGCCGGGATTCGTTTTCACCAAGTAGATATCCACACAAGTGGACCTGGTTGGAGCATACGTAATCCTAAAATGTAGCAACGTGCTACAGATGGCGTTTACTGCGCCATTTGTAGTATTTTCTAAAAGGCACTGTTAAATCAGCAGGTAAAAGTTAGTCTGCGTTCTGTCGGAGCTGCCTGCGCCGCGCTGATGAGATCCAGAAAGATCGAAATCGCGATCCGCGTCTGGCAGTTTCGCCAGAATACAGACCACTTCGAATTATTTTATTTTAAAATTCTAATTAGATTGTTAAACACTTCTGTTAAATTAAAATGTAAGTCGAGATTAAGAGTACTACAATTTTTAAAAATAAATTAATTCTGTTAAGTTTAACGTAACTAAAACTTAACATGTTTTTATTTTCAGATTGTATAGTCAGCCCTTGATTTCGTACCATAAACGCGAATCATGCATTTCCGACATAACTACAACAACCCTCGAAGTAACAAACGGAGGTGGCAGGACTTCTAATGGAGGCCCGCATATCAAAAGCCTTTTCCTTCAGCCTCATAAAAGGAGCAACGGTACAAATGTTTAATTGTCACACATGTATGTCATTATCATTATAAAACAGCCTTTGGTGTACCCATTAAGGATTGAAATTGTAAATTATCGCCGATGTTTATTAATATGATAATAAACAGTATGTATTTTTTACTTTCCCTTTTTATTGATCTCAAGTAACACGAAGAAACGAAGATGAATAGTGTTTTAAAATTAATTAAAATCAGGCAAATTTTACGAACAAATATTAAAATTAAAATAATTCTGTGGTACATTAAAGAAGAACAAGGAACTTATTGACTTAACAAATTAATATTTTTTACTCAAATTTCATTATGAGGAATTGTTTTTAAAAAGTTCATATATTTCCCCGTTATTCCACTTTCCATTGCACCCTCTAAAATGGTTTTAAGATACCGACGAGATGGTCGTCTGTTCATGGGCAATTTTTTTATATCGTGAAAAAAATTGGGCACTACTGTTTGAATATAAGTTCGACAAGTTAATTTTGAATCGTCCATCAAAATGACGTCCACATCCAAAGGGTAATACATGTTATTATGTACCCCTTCTTGACAATCTAAACGAGCTAAATCGTCCAAATTGATTTCCCAAATAGCCCCCCATACTTCCAAATCTCTGTGTGGTACTATGGTTGCAATGGCCCCATTCCAACCAGATGCGAACGTAATAAAGTCTAAACGATAATTTTCTAATTTGGCAAGTGTTTTACGACGAGCACTTGGACAATTCTGACGAATTCGATTTTGAGATAAATTACTTCCATATGCGAAATACAAAAATATTCTACTACTGGACATAATAAATTTAACGATTCTTTTTTAGAGAATCTTGTGATAATATACTGTCATTTCCAACCAACAAATTTTAAACTTTGTGTTTTTGGCAAAACTAAGCTTTAATTAATGACAGTGGTATTTAATTAAATGCATCACGGTTGGATTAATGAATACATGTTTGCTCATAGGTCAACTAGGGAAATGTTATTCACTTCTGTGATAATTCAATAAAATTTGTTCCCATAGACAGTTAAAATACAAAACTAACCTCAGTAAATTAATCGAAAAGTAAGTTTACAAATTTAACAAAAAATGCCGTTTTTACGAAAATAAACACATATTTTAGTTTAGTTTTACCATTTGTGTTTGTCCAGAAAATCACTGTTGTAAACTCTTAACGTATAATTTAAAATATTATCTACCTCAACTGAAGAACCAAATATGAATAACATTCTAAAGCACATTTCCATCTTGCACAATCACGAACTTTACTCAAACGTGGTTAAATTGGTAAGTTTTGTTTATCAAATTTAGTATTTGCATCTAGAAAACCCCATATCTTTTAGGCAGAACTTACCGTAACAGTTTGTGAACAGAAACCAGACTTTGCAACACCTTCACAAAAATTTCAACTCCATGTTTATTATGCAGAAGCCCTGTTCCATGTGGAGCGTTACGAAATTGCCGAAAAAAATTACAGTCAAGCTTTGCAAACACGAAAATACATGACAAAAATAAAAAGTTCCTCAAACAAAAACATAGATGAACTAAAACTTATGACTGATACCGAAATAAAGTTTAAAATGTATAAGTGTTACATAAAGCTTAAACGTTTTTTAAATGCTATTGAAATATTAGAAAGCATTCCAGCTAGAAATAGGACTCCCAAAGTTAACATGGCTTTAGGTAACTTATATAAAGATGTTAACCAAGATAGGGCAGCTATAACATGTTTTAAAGAAACACTAAAAGAGTGTCCATTGGCTTTAGAAACTGCAGAAAATCTTTTAATGTTAGATGTAAAGGTACTTATACTTTTCCTTAACAAAAGTGAAAATTTTGTTATTATAGGTAAATGTTTTAGGGAGTTGAAGTTAATGCTCTAATGGTTGATGTTACCAATGAAATTAATTGGATTAACTTATGGTTGAGAGCTAAGACTCAGATGCATGCTAGAGATTTCAATAACGCCATTATGATATTCAAAAGTTTAGACTGCACTGGCATGCTAAAAGACAATGTTAATCTTTTAGTTAATATGGGGTACTGCTACCACTATTTATGTAATGAAAATGCTGCCATATCAGCTCTACAAAGAGTAAGTTAAAATTGTTTTGAAACATTCGTGTTTTTAATAAAGTAAAGTAGGTAACATAAAAAAATTACAGGCTGTAAGATTAAACCCTTTTCTGAAAACTGGACGAGATTTATTAGCTAATTTATTAACAACTTCAAATGATAAAGAGTATTTAAAGGATTTGGAAAAATTAATGCCAACTGATAATGATACTTCGTTATTATCACATGAGGACTGGACAGTGATGGCATACTACATGTATTCTCAAAAGAAATATGAATTGGCCGTATTTTTAACAGAACAAGCCTGCAAAATTGAAAAAAGTGTCGAAGCTTATCTGCTTAAGGCCAGAATGTACACACAGCTTAACAAATTTTATGATGCATCTTCAGACTTAAGACAGGCTTTACTTATTTGTCCTTACAGGTAATAAGGGGTCTGCTTAAAACTTCAAGCTGCATATCTTTTGTGCAATTTTGCGACTAAACTGTAATAATTTTTTGAATTGTAAAATAGGTATCTAATGAATTTTATTACATATTGGAGGCCCATTTTGACAACCAAAATTAAGAACAAAACAAAATTAATTTTTAGTGTATTCAGTATGATACACGTTACTTTTTTTGTGTCTATAGATTGTAATTAAAAATCATTGATCAAACTTTTGAAAAAATGCTTAAAACATTTATATTTATTTTCTTTTTTGTAAGATTTGATTTGCACAAGGATTTAGTTCAACTCTACTTAGCCACTAGTCGCTTAAGAGAGGGTATTGCTGCTGCTAATAACGCATGTAAACAACTCAATAACAGTCCCCCTTCACTTACGGTACGTGTTTAAAACTTTCCAACTGCGCAACGGATGTAAAAAGAATTTTTTTTAAACAGTTATACGCATCAGCCTTGTTGAAAGATACTATGAATGCAACTAAAGCAAAGGGAATCCTCGAAAAAGCTATAAGTGGTGATTCGCCCTATTTACCAGCTGTTTACCTTCTAATCGATATTTTGAAACAAGAGCACGCCTTTGAAGATGCCATAAAATTAATAAAGAAAATCATTGATAACACTTCTTCTTCCAAACTACACCAACTGTTAGCAGACTGTTATGTTCGACTTCAAAAGGATGAGGAGGCTTTTCATCACTACAACGTTGCCCTAAGGTATGCAATTGCTACAAGCAATAAATAAAAAGTAACGTAGCCTTTTAAGGATTGATCCTTCGAATCAAAAAGCTCTGGAGGGTATGGATAACATTGGATGTTCTATTAATACAAGCAAAGTGGAGTCTACATGTTATGTGACTGCTCATGGAGACTCTAATACTTATCCGTCTCAAGCAGAAACGACCCAAGACAACGAGGGCGACCCTGATAGTGATACAGACAATTGGCCAAACAGTGGTGGTCACATCATGTCTTTCAGTGTTTAAGTAAATTATGTGTATACATAAAACAATGTAAGGATATACGTATTAATTGCGCAGAATATATTTTTCGTATTATACAATTAGTAAAAGAAAAACTTCGTTAATGTATTGAAGTTTTCCAATCATTTCACTTGGAAAGAATGTCCCATATGTTAAAATTTGTGTGATAATTATTATCTATCTCATTCTGAAAGACTGCAAATTATGTATTTTTGTATTCTTTTTTCTATTTGACGTTAATACAGTACACCCCCGGTAGTATGAACTCCGCATAATGTGAACATCATATTCAATTATGCTAGGCCACCGTATACCGTAAACAAACTAAACCTTCGCTTAAAGAAACAAAAGTCTTTAAAAATGCTGCAAATCTCCAACTATCAAATGCCTGAAATATTCAAAGAAAAGTACTCGTCAAGTCTGTTTGATATTTTTATTTTTAGAATACATACAGAATATAATTAAGATTATTGTTGTTATAAAATAAAAACACACAAAAAAGTCAGATTCTACTATTAATTCTTCCCATATTACAGCCATCAATGACTAGATACTTATCACAGAATAAAAAAAATAACATATTACTTATTACATGTCACATACATTTTAAAAAACAATAAGAAATAAAAGAAGAAGGTTTAAGTTAAAAAGACTCAGCAGCTATTTTTAAGAAAATGATGATTACGTTATATCCCTATAATAACAAATGCAAGCAAAAAAATTAAAATAAACTTTAACAATACCATGTTTTTCCAGAATCATCTTCATGTCACAAGCCAGGCTTAAATTTGGGCCTGACATAGGGAGGAGGACTGGGTCTCATGTGAACATCTGAACTTAAAGGAAACGTAGGACTTCCTGTAATGCTTCTTGACTTTATAGATAAATTTGGAGAAAAGTTAAGACCATTTAAAGATGGTAAGTCGTTTATAGCTGTTTCAAGAGCGAAATGATCGTTGGAAATTTTATTAGTTTCAGTATCAGTTGCCTTTCTTTCCATTTCTTTGAATCTAGAACAAAAAAAAATATTTAAAATATACGAACTTTTTACTTTTGGATTAAATTTAAAAGCGAAAATTGATTTATTAGTTTAAGTTTATAATAGCTTCTTAAAAAACAATAAAAATTTAAGAGCAAATACTAAAAAAGAAAAACCAAATTATTATTGTGTTAGATATTGGAAGCTAATTCAGAGGACAAAACCTTTTACCTCTTTTTGTGAAAATAATCGGTACAAATATGAAATATATTTTCAAAGAAAACTTCACTTTCTTCGTCTTCTCTGTAATTACAGAAAATTTTCAATATCTTAGTGTTGAAAATAATAACAAGTTTTTAAATCGTTTTTCAATAAACTATCGTTACGAAAAACTTACATGCCCTCATGATGAAAACACAAAACTAGGGACAACAGAAGACCCAATAAAACCAGCAAAAATAAAGGAAGTAAAACAGAAAAAGCAAATTCCTTTGAATAACTTCTTCTTGGGATTGTACCACGTGAAAATGATTCCCAGTGATCCTCAAAGTTGTACTCCCTTCCATTGCTTGAAAGTTTTTCTACAGTTGTGGTTGACTGTAGTACAGAAGAACTGTTGTCAGGAAACTGAAAGCATATAGGTAACATTAATAATTATGCATTGTCAAAAAAGACAGTCTTACCAAACGGAAAGTGCACCAATCTAATGCAAATCCTGCTTCCCTAAAGTATCTTTCAACAGTGGTCCTTTTAAAATCTCTGGGGCACAGTGGTACTTTTTCCAGTGGTTTAACTTCAGCTTGTAATTCAATTAATTCCATAGAAAAAGGTGCAATGCTTCCAATCCTTATAACAACACTGTAAAAGAGAAATAAAAATCGAAAAGTTTATTTATCATCATCAAAAACGACGCTGTAAATTTACCCCTCTCCTTCTTTTGGATTTGGTGGTAATCTTGCTCCCATTTGAATAGCAGAAGCCAAAAATGTTACATATAGATCTTCATCACTTTCTCTCCATAACTTCTTTCTGAAAACGTCCTTTAAACGATTCATTCTTTCAGTATCAAACATATCTTCTACATTTAAATTATCGATTTTAAGTTGAACCTCGTTCCTTGCAGGATTTAATTTCTCTGTAATACGAATTGGTAAAACACTTTGTCTAGTTTCGTAGTTTTTTCTATTGAGGGCAATAATTTGTAATAAAATCTCTGCATTATGCTTATTTGGAGGTACACCAAAGAGAAAACCAGCTTGATGACGCTCACTGTATCGATAATTTACCCATGATGGTAAGTCGGGGGAATTTAATAATGAGGGCTGATAAACGTACTGGTTATTTACATCTAAAAGACAACATTTTAATATACTTTTGGCGTTCAACTTTACAGTTTTACCTTCTAATGTCCAGTTAAACATAAACGGGTCAACGGTTATTTCAAATACTTCAGTCATAAGTACATTTTCTGTTAATCCCAATTGAAGAAGCCCTAGAAATAACACTAAACGATGATTTACCATTCTAAAATTTGTGTTTTTTCGTATTTGAAAGTTGTAATACAAAAAAATCGATAACAAAACACCTATAAAGACCCAAAAAAGTAAGGTTAAGTATGTTGGTTAATAATTTAAACATTAAACGTCAAACCGATTATATAGGGGAACTTCAACAAGTTTTTTTATACTAAATCAGTAAATTACTATTCAATCCAAAATATTTTCAAAATTAAATTGAAGTAAATGTATAAAATACTATCTGATTGATTTGTATATTATTTTATTTGAAAAATAATAAGTTGATTTATTACATAATTGCTTTTCGGTAAGACTTCAATCAATAACTTTTATCAGTTACCTCGTATTTAGGATGCAGAAATTACAATTTTCAGTTCAATAGAAATACGCTTGCGCAGATTAACACAAATCAGATAAAGTAGTAATAAAAATAAAACTGTAGTAATGAATATAAATAAAAGTATTTGTAAATAAGTTTAAACAGTTTTTAAATCATTGCTAATAATTTATAAAACAGAGTGTTAACATACATTCAGAAAAATGTGCAGACGAAAAAGTAAAGAAGCCATAAAACACACGAAGCCCTCGTAGGTCTACAAATTAATTGTAAATTCGAAATAATTTAATTAGTTGTATAACCTAGTCGATTAAAAATTAATTATGAGTTTTAAAACAATCCCAACATTACTAGTCACAGCTAATGTAGGCTCAATCTTTGAAGATGTAAGTAGTATTGCAGATTGCACTTGTAGAAAATTATTGACTCCTGTTCCAGCCCAATCAAATGCTAAAGATTTGGACAGAAGAATTTTTATTAACAATTTCCAAACTTGATCCAAAATTTGTGGCTCTTCATTGTCAAGAAGTCGGGGGTAAAAATTATGAAAACAGTATGAAACATGTTGAAAACTTTGTTAGTTTGTTAATGACTAGTAATGAACTTCGACTATTTGATAAAGTTAGAATCTTTTTAGATGAGGATTATAGTTCAGCTGAAAATTTTACAGTAAGTTACTATATATACTATTGGGAAAAAATCCAACTTACTTGAGGTTTCCATTTGTTTAATAATAAATTTTAATTAATAGGCCCTTGGAAATTTCTACTTTTTCCATGAATCAGTAAAGGACATTTTAATATGGAATTTTAAGGACCTGCAGTTTGAACCGGTTGAAGACAAGGAGATACATTCAGGAAATATTGAATCTGTTGCTACCAAGGAAAAGGCCAAATTTCCACAAGATTTCTTTCCTGAGGTAATTATACATATTTAATCGCTTTCTTTTACAAAGAATGAAAAAATACTTCTGTAAAAAGTGGAAACCTCACATAGAAATTAAATTAAAAGCTTTATTTTTCATTTGAGTTGGTATAGGTATTTAAAATAATATGATTTACAGTGTAAATGGTCAAGAAAAGGCTTTTTAAGGACAAGATGGTCAATTAGTGGAACAGTTGTAGATTTGGTAAATATTCATTTGTTCCATGATGCTTCAAACTTTATTGCAATGGAAGCGTTTCCATCAGTCTATTGTCAAAATAGACGCAGAGCTTTAGAGCACACTCTGCAGCGCTTCCATAATGACATACATGGACGAGCACCTTACTTTCTTTTTGGAGACTTCAATTTTCGAACAGATACAGATGGAGTTATAAAGGTAAAATAGAATCTATTTTATCGTTTTTCCTCTCTTATTTGTTCTAATGATGCAAACCTTAATATAAATGAGGAGTGGGCCCTAAGGATGATAAGTAAAATTAAATATATCTTATAATGAAAAAATATATTTTATTTAACTTCAACACAGAAATTATGTCAACTTAAATAAGTAGAGATAAAATTAAGTTAAATTAAAGAAACAAACAGCAACTACCTATGTTTTATTCCTTTTGGATGTACAGGGGTTATTAAAAAGATACAGAATAACACTACATCAGTCTCATCTCTCAACAAACAAGTAAATTGGAAATGAAATTAAAATATTTGTTATTATAATAGCTAATAGTTTTTAAAACTGTACTGTTATGATCCATTTGAGACAGATAATTAAGAAAATCTTTTGGCTTTCAGTTATTTTTTAACGTTTGCAAACGAATATT